CCAAGGGTATATCTTACTTTTCGATTTCAGTAGATTCGGTATTTTTGATTTCTCGATAGTATGAGTTCGAAAAGCAGGGTTCTCTACATTTAAGCAGGTTTTTCAGGACGAAAACTATACAGGAAGACTCTCAAGATCGAAAACTTCACAGAAAAGTAGTTTAAACTGTCTAAAACTGAACTTTTGATTTGCAGGATTTCGATACTACGTTCTCGATAAGAGTTCTCGAACTGAGTTCTCGAGATTTCTTTCTCGATACTCGGTTTTTTATACTAAATATTTAAAACTCTGTTTTTCGAATTGCAGGTTCTCGATACAGCTTCTCGACACTCAGTTCTCGAAACTAAGTTCTCGAACTTAGCTTCTTGATACTGAAGTTCTCGATACAGCTTCTCGATAAACAGGTTCTCGATATTCACTATCGAAAACTGGTTCTCGATAGAACTTCTCGAACCCTAGTTTTCGAATTTTTTTCTTGAATTAGGTTTTCGACATTCTGCATCTTAAATTTTTTTTCTCTCTGATCAAAACACTCGACCGATCTGTTAAGGCTCAATCAGCAAAGATGGAAGCATTAGCACTTGGAAATGACAACAGACCACCCATCCTCAGAGAAGGAGAATATCAGATGTGGAAGACAAGATTCTTGAACTTTCTGGAAGGAAAAGATAATTCATCTGCCATGCTTGAATCGCTCACACAAGGTCCTGCTGAGATCTATACAGAAGTAGATACCTCAGATGTAAACAACCCCCTTGTCAACTTTGTGAAAAGACTGAAGACAAAAGGCAAATACACTGAAGCTGACAAGTTGAGAATCAAAGCTGATCTCATGGCAAAAACATATCTGTTGCAAGCTATCCCCAATGATATTTACATTCTGATAGACAGCATGGAGACAGCAAAGGAAATGTGGGATGAGGTGAAGAAGTTAATGATTGGAACTGATCTTGGTTTGAAGACAAAGAAAGCGAACATCTTGACCGCCTATGATGCTTTTAAAGCCCTGCCTGGTGAGGCGCTCCATGAGACGTATAACAGATTCGTACAACTGATCAATGAGATGAGAAAGATCAAAGTTGTCAAATCTAATATGGAAATCATAAGGATCAAAGCCCCCTTTCTTGAAGAATTTGAGAGAAGATTTGGAGACACCCAGAAAAAGTCAAGCAGTTCAGTGAATTAAAAATGCGAGGAATCAATCACTTGAAAGGAAAATATAGAGGAGGAAATCTGTATATGCTAGGACATAGATCCACAGGGCAACGTCGACAAGTTCTAAATCACAACCTTGCAACAAGTGGATGTCCCATATTGAAAATCTTGGAGATCACAGAAGATTACCCGAAGACAATTAAGTTCATGATTTTTCGTCTACAACGTACTGATGGCTCGGAGTTCACCTGTCAAGAGAATGACTTCTTTCTACTGCACATGGATGACATTTATCAAATGTTCATGAGGTGCAGGGAGCTTCCAGTTCACAAAGACAGACTCGCTAAAGAAGGCTTCGAGGCGATAAAAAGATTCATGACAAGACAAGTTCGGATCTACGCCTCTCATGACCTCCAGATGACCATAGAGCACAACTATTCAAAGGTGAATCTTACTAGACCGGACTTGAGTAGACCTGGCCTTGAATCCTTTGAAGCATATCATATCTTTGACAATCCAGTATCAGTCATCTATCTGAATCATAACAACGAAAAACGTCTAATGTTCGTGGATGAAATTAACAAGTATTGTGACGGAACATTGAAGATCATCCAGGAGCAGCTCCGATCAAAGAAACAAGAACTTGGACAGAAATCGACTGAAGCCACTGAAGGAGACCAGAAGGAACTGCACAGAATTAACAATATTCTACAGGCCATTGAAAAGCAACTTGACAGAAGAAATTCACTCAGGAGCTATGAGCACGCGCTAAATCTCAGAAAGAATTATTTCAAAGCTCAGAAGTGAAGAAACCCAGCAAGACGGCACTTGATCACAAAGGGGGAGATTGTTAGAACTTTTATTGTGGGTCAAGTTTGTCTGTAATGTCTTGTTTAAATAAAGTAGACTAGTTATACCATTTATGGTATTAGATTAGTATTTATTATGTAGCAAATAAGGTAAAGGGAATAAGGCCCAAAAAGGCCTTGGCCCAACTTCCAAGGTTTACCTAAATCGGTAACCTGTACAGCGCCTATAAATATGCGCCTTGTGTACAGGTACCGATATCGATTAATACACATTAGCCTTACGCTGTCAAAAATACTTCTCGATATAATAGAAAGGCGATTTCCAAGTTCTCGACATTGCGTACATCATTTTGGGTAATCGTTCTTCTCTGTTTATCGATGAATACCATCTAGCTGTGTGTTAGTCTGCATAAACTGGGACCAACATCCTTTTGATTTTCCCTTTGTTTTGTTAACAAATTCATCAATTGAATACATAATTTGTCATTTTATTGTATTTAATGTGGAGATCACATACATATGTGAAGCACTTTTCCAGGCAAGTGCTTGATATTTTATTGTATTTAATGTGGCTCACATTCATTTTACTTTTTTCTTACACAACCACAATCATACATTTCCACTTTATTTCACTTTCTTAATAAGCGTCCCAAGTCAAACCGGGAAGGATTTTTAGGAACAGAGGTAGTACTTGTTTTTTAATAATAAAAATTATGTCAAATTATATAATAAATGTCCAATAAAATAACAAATATGGAGTATCGTTTAACTTTTAAGTGTTTAGTACTCTGTAATTATTACTAGGGAAAGTTCCCGAAATAGGACTAAATAAGTTTGAAAATTCCAAAATGGGACTGTCATGTTTTTATTCCCAAAATAGAAGTAATTACTGTCAAGTTTGGAAAATACTGGCATCTTTAAAGCCTGGTACTGCCAAAACATGGCAGTAATTAGTCCTATTTTGGGAATAAAAACATGGCAGCCCTATTTTTGGAATATAGAAGTACTTTTAGTCCTATTTAGGGTAATTTCTCTTATTACTATTAGTTGATTATTAATGAAATAACTACCTTTTATTATTGTTATTAAATGGTTGACCGGGTTTTAGCATTGTTCGAGTTGACCCGACTGGATCCAGATTGACCCGTAACTCGGTTTCCTAAACATAGGAATTTACCCGGAACTTGTGTGTGTTTAGTGCCAATCTTAATTTTTATGTGCAATTCACTTGTTTGTCACTAAATGTGCGTTTCATCTAAAACCATCAGAATCTGTAGAATTCTATTAAAATCTATATAGAATCCACATCCCATTAAAATCCTTTAAAATCCGTGTTGGGGACACCCCTTAAATTAAGGGATACAAGTCTGTTGGAATATCGGGTCCAGGCCCAATATATCTGGCCCAAAGTATGGAGGAGCCCAGAGGGAACATAGGGCCCAAGATGATCCAGAACACCCGGACGACGTCCCCGACCAGCATTCGGCATATCTCATCTACTTGGGGGGTAATCCATGAAAGGCTGCCTTCTAAACGTCACCTAAAGGGGGTCCGGCACCCCGAACGGGTTCCCCGGACGAGAGATCAACAAGTAGAAGCCGCATTTAATGCCGAAATATGGCAATAGCAAGTAGGGACATGGGGTCACAAGTGGCAAAGGCAGCAACCAACGGGTTTCAGCCACGTCAGCATCCCACCTACCCCATTTTAGTATAAACACCTACATTGAATACATTGTAAGGGGTTAGCATTTTGATACTAAGAGCTTAGCAATAGAGTTATATCTCTATTCTTGTATTCAAACTCACACCGACTGACTGTTCGGGTAGTTTCAGTGTAATCACTAAAATTACCTAATATTAGATAGCTCTTAAGTTAATTTCGGGTTCACTATTTTATATTTTATACACTTTCTAAACCAAACCTAACGTCCTTAATATTCAAAACGTGTGTTGGGCTTTCGGATCTACGAGACTAAACCTCAACAAGGTCAAATTGGACACTATGGTTATATGAGAATATCATATTGAACACTAAGGTTTCAAATGTACTAAATTGGACACTGCAGTTATTTGTGTAACTCATATTGGACCCTAAAGTTTCAAATGAATTAAATTTTACTTTTTTCTGATAATTTTCGGACACCCACCAAAGATTTTCACATTGAAAGCTATAAGTATTCCCTTTTCTCTTGGTTTAATGTATCTAAAAATAAAACAACTTAATCTGTGTATTTAGATTTAGAATATATAATTAGATGTTCCAATTAAGAAAATCTATTACAATGTAATTGAATTCTTTAATATTGTTAAATCAATTTAACAAATCGATACTACCTCAGTCCCAAAATTAATATCCCATTCGGTTTACGATGCTTGACTGACGATAAAACAACTCGATCCCTGTTCACACTCAGATAATTTTTAGTAAATAAAATTTACATATTAAGAAACTACATTAAAACCGCTACAAAGCATGATCAAGAAAATTTAAACGTGATAAAAATTTGATATATAAAATAAAAGATTATGAGTGATTCAAGTTGACTAATGAATAGTGACTGTGAAGTTGTTTTTGAGACGGATGAAGTATTTCTTAACTAAAACTCCATAAAAATCATATGAATGAAAGTCCTAAATATATTTTTAAATTGTTTTTTTTTAAGTTTTTAAATTGTTAAATATAAGAAGTTATTAATCAAAATCAAATTATATATTCTAAAGAAAAAAGAGAATCATAAGTGAGTGTCAAAAAAATATGAATTATGAAACTTCAATGTTCTATGAGATACATATGTAACCGTAGTGTCCAATTTAGTCTATTTGAAATCTTAGTGTCTAATATGAGATTTTCATCAAACCATAGTGTCCAAATTGAGCTTAAAGATGTTTTTACTTGGACTGTAATTTGATGGTATGGTCTGGTCTGATTTATTTGTATTTTTGTAACTATCCAAGTCTGATTTGGTCTGGTTTGATCTAGACGAATTAAAGTCACAAGAGCAAAATTTGAACCCGGTTGCGGCTACCGGCAATCTTTGAAGTGATACTGTTCCGTGTGGACCCATGGAGGTTAAAATGGCGGGAAAGCGAACCGCCAAATATGTGGTGGGTTAGTCGTCAGACACACTTAGGTTTCGCTATGCTCCGCCATTCCTCTCAGCCCAGCTCTCAGCGTTGAAGCTATGGACACCATTCTCAAGGTTCTTCATTTCTCTTTGATATCCTCTTTTTAGTTTCCAGTTTTGGGCATTTCTATTCTGAAACCTAGAATTTCACGGCACTGATAGAGTCACAACTCCCCCCCCCCCCCCCCGCTCCAGAACTACTTTGGGCATTCTACATTTCGACCTTACCAGAAAGAAGTAATAGAGAATATCGTTGATGGAAAAGACTGCTTAGTTGTCATGGCCACGGGCAGTGGCAAGTCACTCTGGTAAGCTATTATTCTTCAATCAACATATTGCATTTGGGCCTTCTTGGGATTTCAATCTTCAAATAAACTTTTTTCCCTGTTTCTGGATTACTATATAATGTAGTTATCAGGTGCCCCCTTTGATTACTAAAAAAGTTGCTGTAGTAATTAGCCCTCTTATATCTTTGATGCAAGATCAGGTATGTCCTCAATGTGTTTTTTATTATGTATGGAGTATTATCTTTACATTAAACAAGGATAAAATGTGATACTCGTGTGCTGTATTTTACCCAGGTAATGTCCTTAAAAGAAAGGGGAATTAAAGCTGAGTTTCTATCAAGTGCTCAGACTAACCGTAGTGTGCAGAGCAATGCTGAATCTGGTCTCTATGAAGTTCTGTATATGACTCCTGAAAAGGCTTGTTCAATTTCTAGCAGGTATACGATTTAAGTTATAAATAATTCTAGTTACTATAGTTTGCTGAAGAAACATCATGGTGTGAACTGTGAAGTATGAATGTTATCATAACACCAAGTTAGCACTACTGCAGTTTCTGGTCTAGATTGTTGAGTTCAGGGATTTGCCTGTTGGCTGTTGACGAAGCACATTGCATTTCCGAGTGGGGCCATGATTTCAGGTTAGAGACTTGGAGCTCTATTCAAAGACAAAATAATACGAAATTGGCCACACATTAATATGATTCTGATTTCTACAAATCCCCCTTTTGCAGGGTAGAGTACAAGCAGCTACACAAGTTACGTGATGCTCTTACTGGAGTTCCTGTTGTTGGTCTTACAGCAACCGCCACGGAAAAGTAGGTACTTTATATATACAGAGAGATAGTCTTTCCCTCTGTCTACCATTTATGCATTTGGTGTGACATATTAAAAAATACATGTCCTAAATATGAGTAAGGTTTACCTGTGATTCTTGGTTCTTTTTTAAAATAAGTATTCACTGTTCTGTTGGCATTATAATTTGAACTGTAATTGACATAGTATTGCGCCTCTGTGCAGTTGCTTTTTAATTCTGAATGCGTTCTAATGCTATGTCATTCCAAGAGCCTAATATGCATGCACAGTAACAATTAAATTCTGGCTTTATATACTAGCCTTGCATTTAATAAGTTTTCCCATGCATTTGGAAAATCTTATGAATTATGATAAGACGATTTATATTTTTTTTCCAGAAAGTAGATTTATTGGTTCTGTTTATTTTATTAGCTTTATTCTGTTTTCTTTACAGAGTTAGAAGTGACATTACAAATTCCTTGATGATGAAAGACCCTCATGTTGCTATTGGCTCTTTTGATCGCAAGAATATCTTCTATGGTGTCAAGTCCTTCACTCACGGCTCTCTGTTTGTCCATGACATTGTAGAAGAGATATCCAAGTATGCGGAGGATGCTAGTTCAACCATAATATATTGTACAACAGTTAAAGATACTGAAGAGGTCATTAGATGTCTGTTCTGTATAGATACTAGTACTTTTTTCATGCACCAAATGCCTACCTCATATACCTAACTGAAACAATGCCAAGCTAAGCAATCTATGGATGTTAGTCTGTTCATAAACCACAACCACTTATTGTACAAGTAGTTTGCTGAAGGTTGTCTTGAATATGTAAGGTTTAGTATGATCTTTATTTGTCATTTAAGAGTCCCAAACTTATTTCTGCAGATTTTCAAGTCACTTCTTGGATCAGGAGTCAAGGCTGGAATGTACCATGGCCAGATGTCTAATAAAGCCCGTGAAGAGGCGCATAGGTTCAATGTTTTTTTTTTAATTTTTTTGGCAATCAATATCCATTTTTCTGTACAAGTTCTCCATTCGTATTCTTATATATTTCTAAGTGAATGGAAGGGAATATAGCTGATTCGTTCATGTACCTTTTGCAGATCATTCATCAGAGATGAAATTTATGTCATGGTTGCCACTGTTGCTTTCGGTATGGGTATTGATAAGCCAAACATAAGGCAAGTGATACATTATGGCTGCCCCAAGAGTTTGGAATCTTATTACCAGGAAAGTGGAAGATGTGGTCGAGATGGCATTTCTTCAACCTGCTGGCTTTACTACACAAGAAGTGACTTTGCTAAAGCTGATTTTTACTGCAGAGAAGCATCATCAGTATGTGCTGCTCTTTAAAATTTCTAGGATTCTTCATATGTTAGAAGGCCATAGTCTACTATCGTACTACTACATTAATTGTTTTTACAAATTTTTAAATGATCTTATTTTCACTCTCTCTCTCTCTCATCTGAGTAGGCAGATCAAAGAAATGCTATCATGGAATCATTTATTGCTGCACAACATTATTGTTTGTACTCAGCTTGCAGGAGAAAGTATCTTTTAGAATACTTTGGAGAATCCTGTGCTTTTGATAATTGTGGTACGGCCTTAAATAAATTTTGATTGCTCTTTCTCCATTTAGCATCTTCACTATTTTTTTCATGGCACTGTATACAAATATCAGTTTGTTTGTCTGAACTGGTCTAGGGTTAAGGGTTACCTATTGGACCTATAGGTGAACTGGCTTAACTCGTTATGAATAAGATAATATATTTTCAATAAAACTCACGAGTTGTGAAAAGATAGAAAGCAATATATGTTTAAAAATCAAAACAAAAATTGACATTTAGTCTAACTTCCAACTTTTACATTTCACAACAACATCCAAGCCTTAGTCCCAAAAGATTTTGGGGTTGGCTAACGTGTTCAACTAAAATCAAATTATAAAATGTTCATCATCTTCTAACAAACATCTTAAATCACTATAAAACTCATTTAGATTAAAGTCATTAAACTATATACTCCCCCCGTCCTGAGTACAGGTTCCCATGCAGTTTACAATGTTTGTTTCATCATAAAGTTAACTGATTCCTATCAATAATAAGATTATATCTAGTAAATAAGAATTACGTATTTAGAAACTATATTAAAAGTTTTATAAAGTCCCAAAAGAAAAACTCAAATTTGTTAAAAGTTGGATATATAAAATAAAAGATTACTGGACAGGAACCTTTACCTGGGATGGAGGTAGTAGATACAGAGTATTAATGATACAGGCACTCTCATAGCAGTTAATTCCAGTTCTCTACCATAAAACTGAAATTTGCAACAATATCATCGTCTTTTCCACGAGGATATGATGAAATTATAGTATTGGACTATGGAAAAATCAAAACGTCTGAATCAGTTAAATCGCTGGCCCCATCCTATTCGCCTCCACCCCACTGGTTTTGTGGTCCAACCCGACCGGTTGGTGTAGTTTGGTTCTCAATCCGTGATGTAACTAGAAGAGCAACTTTGGTTTTCCAAGAATATTGGTGTATATATTTTCAATTATTTAAGAATTGATTTGTTTGTCAATTGAGATAACCTGGAAGGATTTTGGGATCGGTCTAATAATGCTTAGCCTGGTCTAGTTAAGTAGAGCATTTGTATCTTTACTTTACAGTCTTTAACTTCAAGACATGGATAATGCCTGTTCACTGCTTGTGAAAATTGATTTATGTACGATTTCAGGGAATTGTGATAATTGCACCAGTTCAAAGAAGGAGAATGACATGTCAAGAGAAGCATTTCTTCTTATAGCTTGCATTCAGTCTTGTCGAGGCCGTTGGGGATTGAATCTTCCTGTGGATGTTCTTCGTGGTTCTAGAGTAGGCCTTTTTATTTTGATAGTTTAAGATAATACATGTATGTAAATGATGTATAGAAGGCCATGCTTAAGAAAATCTTCTTAAAGGAAACTTCTTGTTTTGAAATAAGAGTAAATATAATGTGATTTCCCTAAATAGGAGTGCCATGTTTCTTTCTGTATATAGTAGTAGAGTACTATCATCTTGAAATCATACTGCCATTTTATGGCATTATTATGTTAGCCGACCCCAAATTTTTTTGGGAATAAGGCTTGGATGTTGTTTATGTATCATGCATTAATATGACAGTGTGCCAGAACATGGCAGTATTTTTAGGATAGGCAGTGATTACTCCTATTTAGGGGGGAAGCTTAATACTACCATTTAGGGAAACCACCCTTTTACTCCTATTTTTGGCAATTTCTTTGTTCCTAATTACGGAGTAGTATTTAAAATCCCTCACAACCAGTCATTCCTAGTCAACCATGTATATGATATATGGCTTTTGAGACTGGAGATTTTATCTGTCTTGATTCTTTCTCCTAAATTGCAAGATTTTTAATGAACATATTTGTTTTCAGGACTTCCTTTTAATTGCTTAATTGTATCGTACCCTTTCATTGAGTACTCTGAGAAATGTCACATATTGTCCTTTGTTGTGACAGTCAAAGAAAGTTCTTGAAAATCAGTTTGATAAGATTCAGTTCCACGGCTTTGGGAAGGAGTTTCCTGCAAATTGGTGGAAGGAACTTGCTGAGCAACTGATTTCACGCGGTATGTGCTAGCACTTTTTCCAAAGGTTGTGTATTTGCTGCCTTACAACACACTTTCCTGTTTTCTATTTCAATTTTCTAGTACCCCTTTGATTCTGAACAGGCCAGAAGGCCTAGGGTATCGAGTATATTATTAAAACCATCTCAAATGGGGGGGAGGGGAGGGGGTTATAAACTCTATGTGCAACCCTCATAATTTTTTTGCGCAGGATATTTGGTAGAGACTTATGACGATGTGTACAGATTTATAAGGTTCACTCACCTCATACAATCTTCTAAACAGTTTAGAGTTCATAGTCTATTTTACCATCTTCTTGTAGGGCTGCGTGGAACCCAGACAATAGCAAGGACATAAGTATAGAAGAAAAAATAGAAGAAATTTTGAATGAAAAAAAGATCAGGAAAATAAAACATCAATTTAAAACCAGCTTTTTTTTCTAATATTTGTTCAAACTTGTTATATTTGTTTAATTCTATTATATAAAGACTAAGAAATCTTAACATACATAAAAAGTTTAATTCTATCGTATTTCTTTGCATTTTCCGATGTAAAGCCAAACACGAGAAAAACTTCCTTTCATATTTTTGGATTCCCCCCTTTCTGTAGCATTTTCTGGGTTCCAAATAGACCCTATGCTTCTTCAAGAGTATTGTGGATTATCTTATAATATGTTTAGGAATAACTAATACGAAGTATGTAATAACCACTAAACTTCTTTTCTTTGTATCTATTAGTGTTGGTCCAAAAGGATCAAAATTTCTGAGATCTTGTAACCCTGACTACCAACCTCCCTTGTTACTGCCCATGACTTCTGAAATGGTGGTTGATGAGGGAGGCACAGACATATCTGCTGAGTGTAAAGGAAGCAATGCTTTGGCTCTTACGGAAGTCAATGCATTTTCTCAGGTCTGTCATTTAACTGGTATTGTCTTTCTTACTTTCGCAGCATATTAACAAGGTTACCACATATGTATTATGATCATTATACTTTCCACTTAAAGACCACTAGAAGAGTGGATTGCAATTTGTTCGTCTGCAAAAATGTTCATTAAGATATCTGAATAATTAATATCCAAAAACTGATATCCATTGCCATGTAATTTATGCTTCTTTTCTTATTAGTTCCTCCCCTGTTATAACAACCTCTTTTTGACAACGAAACAGCTATAACTTAAAGATTTCCTATCTTTCTTTGTCACGCCATTCCAAAAAGATGTAATTTTTATTTTATAGAGCTGTTAAAATCTACTTGAGAACATGAATGGTTAGTTTCACTTTATTTTAATTTCAATATCAGTCTCTAAAAGTTGTAAAACGATAAAGTTAATAGTTGAGTTATGCAACCGACATTCTTTTTGTGGACGGAGATTGCTCCGAAGTTTGAAAGGGACTAGAAAGAAATTAGCGCATATTACCTGGATGAAAAACAAAAAGATGTAGGGATCTAAAATGACCAGTGTCATATTGCAGGGGCTAAAAATATATTTAAACCTTTATTTTTATAAATCTTTTCCTAAATTTCTGGTTATATCTGGTTCTCTTTTTTCATTTGAAAATTTCTCTTGGTTCAGGCAGAAACACAACTCTATAAGATGCTCCTAGAAGAGAGGAAGAAGGTTGCACGAGCTAATGGAACCGCACCGTATGAATTTGTTCCCCACCCTGCACACACAAAAGACTCTTCTTTGAACTTTCATGTTGCCAAAAATTTCCCGTTTTAACAAAATAAATTGATTTTCATTACAACTAAGTACTTTGTCTCTTATTTTAAAAAGTGTTCCAAACAAGAATTGATGATTTCCAAACATTGTACTTCACATAAATGAAAATGCTTTACCTCGGTGAAATTTAAAAATATAATGGTAGTACTCCCTCCGTCCCGAAAAGGTTTGCCAAATTTCCTTTTTTGGATGTCCCAAAAAGATTTGTCATTTCCATTTAAAGTAAGGAATATGTGGTTAAAGTTAATTTTCTCTCCTTTGCACAAATTTCAACCACACAGTTTTTACTTTATTAATCCACGTGAAAGTCAAAGTTGGCGAACCTTTTCGGGACGGAGGGAGTATATGATATTGCGATATTGTATTTATGTATATTGCAATATTGTATATATTTATTTTTAAATGAAGAGATTCAACCCCCCTCTTTTTTGTACCAGTTCATTTAGCTTGTCTTGGCACTTGACTGCTTCTCACTTGTAGGTATGCAATATGTGGAGATGCAACACTGAAAAAGATAAGTTTGACAAGGCCTTCTACAAAAGCCAGGCTAGCAAACATAGATGGCGTAAACCAGGTAAACATTATCCCTTGATTGAGTCAGCTCTTCCCATACCGGGGGCGTAGCTCACCTGGTAGGAAGAGAGTGCCACAAGGGAGAGATCCCAGGTTCAACTCCAAGCAATGACTTGGGATGGAGCCCCACTCTCTTTTGTGTGATCAAAGCTCAACTTACATCCTGCCAGATAATTGTCCGGTCAGTTCTGGGAAGCCCCTCAGGGATGGGTGTCATCCTTTTTTTTGAGTCAGCTCTTCCCATTGCCTTTTCAAATTATGACCCACATCAAACTCTACTCAAGTTTGTTTACCTTTATATTCAACAAGTAGATTAAAAAAATTCACCTACTCTCATAGCTCCCGTGTCAACCTTTTGCTTACAAGGTATAACCGTTATAAGCAATAAATCTAGTTGCTTGTTAAAAACTCTTTCAATAAAGAAACTAGGTTTTTCATACTGCTTGTTCGCTAATTTGTTTGGCAAACTACATGAAGATTGTTTTTATTTGACCAAACCGCACAATTTTTTTTGAAATAGGACAACTTTTATGTTTCAGTGAGTATCATGTTTAGTGCTATATGGTTATGGTTCTTAGTTACTTATGGATCTATTGTGTATGTGTTTTGCCACGTGATCATCATTTTAATGGATACTTATAAATCTGAGGTTAAACTCTTGATACCTTTGCAGCATTTTATGAAAACATATGGTGATTATTTTCTTCAAAGTGTTAAGCAACTGTCTGAAGGGCTTGATCTTAGTTTGGATAGAGAACGATGGCCTCAAAATGTTCAGTCTTCTGTTTCCACTAATAAGATAGTTACGTTGTTACCGAGAAATAAGAATTTAACACCAGCAAAGTTTGAAGCATGGAAGATGTGGCAAGAAGATGGCCTTAGCCCCCAGGAAATTGCTGTTGAGTCCTCTAACCAACCCTTCCTTTCATTTTTATGTCCAGATTTGTTGTCTGTAACGCCTGTAGTGTCTAACTATGATGTACTATTTACTGTTTAGAATTTTCCAGGGAGAACTGCCCCGGTAAAAGAACAAACTATATGTAGCTATATCCTTGAAGCTGCACGTGAGGGATATCCTTTTAATTGGACCAGATTTTGTTATGAAAGTGGGTTAACCCGAGAGATATTCTCAAATATTGCAACCGTTGTCTCGAAAGTTGGTAAAGAAAAGTTGAAACCTATTAAAACTGAGCTGCCTGAAGAGGTACAATGTTGTTCAATTACACAATTTATCCAAGTTATTATGTATCGATTCATGTTAGCCGACCTCAAAATCTTTTGGGACTAAGGCTTGGATGTTGATGTTGTTGTACACAATTTATCCAAGTTGATAGATTTGTTTTCTTATACTCCCTCATTTGCTATTTATCTGTCTTCACTCACCAACTCATGCAATAAGGAAATGCAATAGTGAAAAATCTATCAAAGCTTTTTATACTTGTATTTTGCGAGAAGTACTCGTGTTTAATAGAGTAAACAACAACATTACCCCAGTGCCACAAAGACTCCCACCTATGGTAGGGTAGGGGGTCAAATGTATACAGCCTTATCCATGTACTAAAGAACAGAGTCTGTTTTCGGATGACCCATGGCGAAAATTGCGTCAAAATTTGAGATAGTTTAGACTTTAGTGAACCATTTTCTTTACTCCATCATATTCCCAAGCCAAAAAATAATGAGTCTTTGGTTCCGTTAGAAATTATGATTAATCCAATTTAATAGAGTATTTAGAATAATTACTTACTACTGCATAAATTTTTCTTTGCATAAAATGATATGCAGGGTAAAATAAAACCGGAGATAAATATACTTAAATGTGCATAAATTTCATAAAATAGAAATTAAAAAGGAACTAAAAAATTCGGGCGATGAACACTGACTGATAATAGGAACTGACTATACATCAGTTTATATAGCTTTAGAGTTTATAATGACACGTTTATTGATTATTAAATTTGATTGTTCTGAATGATCAGGCGAAAGATTATCCTCGGATCCATTTAATGATAAATCAAATTGATTTTTCTGAATGTTTAGGTGACTTATCCTCAGATCCAGGCATATTTGACGATGCAGGAGTTGGGAGTATCAGATGATGTATTTTCATCTAACCAGCAGCCTGATCCCACAACTGTTGAACCAAATGAGCTTTCAGAAGTTGAAGAAACAATTAATAATGCAAATGCTGATTGTTCTTCGTGTGGGGAGATGGGATCAGCATTAAATCTCCAGACTGAGAGCATGCCTGTTGTTGAGGACGAGCTTTCACCAATTTCTGCAAAACGCCAAAAGATTCATGCGCTAGAGACAATAACATCAATGGCACTGGGAGCAACAGAGGAATCTTTACTATGCTGGCTCAAGAATTTTCATGATGGGGTAAGTTGGAACTTAGACTCATTTTATAATCCTTGTTAAGGAGATGGTGAAAATGAAACCACCCCCAATGGTTGGTTGGAACCTGAAACATACTAGCAGATAATTAGAATGAAAGAAAATGTGGGAAAAAAGAATGCAAGAGTAACATTTTCCTATTTTTCGTTTCCCCCAGTATCATTTTTCAACACCCAACCTTTCCCTAACGGCAATATATATGCATAGGTGTCTCTCTCTAACCTCATGGAGCACTTCAATGGGTCCACGGAGAAATCCATCATAGATCTTCTGTGCAGCCTCGAAAGTGAGTTCGTGATATATAAAAAGAATGGGTTGTACAAGCTGATGTAGCCACCGGGTAGTAGATGGAAGAGTTGTTTGTAATTACTAATCAATACTCTGTAATTAGTTAGTCGAGTAATGAGAAGCTCGAATGTCAATTCCTCCCGTCCTGGCCTAAATTACAGAAGCCGAGTAGTGATGGAGGATTTTTGTATAAAAACACTGATTGGGGTGCAAGTTCGAATATAAGACGCAGTCCAGAGATGCCAAGAATGTCTGGATTTTATTCGAGCGTGATAATGTGATATTATTCTAACATTTAAGGCGCCAAGTGTTGAATCAAAGCTTCCAAATTACATATTAACGTCTGATCATCATAATATCTGTTCATTTGAGTGATTTCCAAACTCTAAAAAGAACCAAACCACCAAGCCTGAAAATGTAATGCTTCCTGTCATTATGGTTAGGAGTGGACTGGGCCTCAGGCCCAGGGCCGGGCGGGCTACGGGACTAAGGAGATCAGACCCAGTACTGGCCCCAGTTTGTACTGGTCTGGGCCCGGGTTGGGCCTTAATTATTTTTTGTTAATTACGATTAGTTAACCAAACCTGCCTGAATTATTTTTTGTTAATTTTTTTTTAAAGTAATTCCAACCCTCCATTCCCAAACCGTCCAGCCCCACCCACCTAGCAGCTAGCCCAATGGGAAAAAAAACTAATTGGTGGCCATTATGCTCGGACCGGGCCTGACCGATCCATTAACATAGAAGCCCAATGCCCGCCTGCTTCTTCAACCGGGTCGGCTCCCCGGTCCTGGTCAACTGTGCTGGGCTGGGCCTGCACAGTAGCAGGCTGGGTAGGCCAGTCACAGTCCATCCCTAATTATGGCAAATAGATCAATATTCCAATTTTTGCATAGTCGATACCCAATTTATAGTTCTGAATTATTTTTACAACAATGTAACTCACACAAATCACATTACCTGTCTCAAACAAGAATCCAACTACCCAAGTATTGTTTTTTGGGATGAGTTACAACATCTCTAACTTATAAATGATACGGGGTACTTGTAAAATTTAACTGAATTTGTCATATCAGAGTATCAAACTTTTCCACGAACTTTTACTAATTTTTTAAAAAACCTTTTTTATTAGTTAACCAAACCTGCCTTAATTTTTTAAAATATAAAGTGAAACAAGAAAAGGCCGTTGGGTCAATAATGTACTCCGTATATTAATCTACCGTATAAGTTCCTCCAGCTCCAACTTTATTCCCATCCGTTGCCTCTTAACAGAAGCAGGCCCATCCAAAGGTAACTTGCATTTCTTTTGCAACTCCACTAACCTATGGATGTCAAAAGTATCCTTCTTGATGAGCTTCTTCATCCTCGAAAGGAAGAGCCTCTTATATACATCTTGGTATGACGGGTCTCTTGATGTGACTAAGAAGTAAGCATAACCTATGACTATCCCCGTTGCTGTGGTGAAGAAAGCAATGGGCTCCATAACGTCCCAAGATAATTCCCAGTATGTGAGTCGGAAGAAAAGCCCAATCTGTATCATAGTGGCCCACATACCAGTCCATAAGATGCGGCGAACCTGCTTGTGTGCAAGCTTTTCAATACCCTCCTTCATTTGCAGAAGCTTCCTCAGCTCACACTTGCATGGATCATCTTCGGGTAGAAGTGCGACCGGCACTGCTTTCCTCACCTGGTCTACTACCTGAAGTTTTTTAAATAAAACGCTTTACATCAAAACCAGGAGAACATTTCTAAGTAATCGATTGAAAGGAAACAGGATTGATCCCAAGGTGTATAGCTACATCAAAACCAGGAGAACGTTTCTAAGTAATCAATTGAAAGGAAACAGGATTGATCCCAAGGTGTATAGCTACATTGCACCATATTAACATAATATTGATATGATAATACACGTTCTTCTGTTCACCTTTTGTTTTATTTTTATTTGTTTACTAATTTTAATTTTATTTAATTTTAATCAAATCAAATCAAACCATAAAGGTTCAGATCAGCCAAGAGAGAGAAAAAATTGCATCATACCAGAGAAGGATTATTCAGTTAAGTAATGTTGAACTCAAATCTTAGTACATATAAGAATATCTAGATCAGATGCACAGAGCAAGTCATAAGGCCCTGTCTGGTATGTGTAATCTGATTATACTGCTTAAGCATAATGAGAAGAATATGTTGCCATTGACTTACTTAGGCTCTGTTTGATAGCATAAACAAATAATGCCGCCTACCAAATAGGGCCCTGATCTGTGCATTTCTTATAAGTAGCCAAAGTGGTTTATTCTTCTCTGAAAAGTAGGAGTTTTAGACAGACTTCTTTGGCTGAAATGAATTTAACCAAGAGCTTCTCCTTTCAGAGTACACCATTTCAGCCTTTCAGCCAAATAATCCTCACAAAACAAACTCTTATTTGGTTGAAAAGATGTTACCAAATGCGTTTTTCAGAAAATTCACCAAGTTAAGTACTTTCAGAAAATCAATATACCCTGTATGACAAATTGAACACCACATCATTAGAAATATCAACGCTTTCATAAAAAAAACATGTTAATTGATGATAAGCCTATAAGGTGGCAGTGATGATGAGTTGATAACAAAAAGACACTAAATTATTGATTCTGTTATATGCCAGTATTCTTTTTTTTTTTTAATCCTGCTCTTATATATCGGTAAATATACAACATGGAAGATAAACTAGATTGATAGAGACACTACCAGATCCGGGCGAAGATGGACTTTATCACCAAACATCCAAATAACACCTGCCTCATCCAGAACCCGAGCAAAGACAACAGCCTCCTCGGGAGACTTCACAATGCACGTTCTCTCACACGCCTGCAAAAGCTCTGAGTAACCAATTACCTCCTTCTCCTCCATCCCTAGTTTCTCCTTCAACGCCTTCACGTTCACCAACCTCATAAGTCTCTTCACCTCCGCCTCCGACACCAACTCTCTGTTCTCTTTTCCCTCTCCTTTACCTTCCCCTTGTCCTCCGTTGGCCGCATAACTACAATAGCTCGACCCGATCAATCTTAACCCGCTGAAACAGCTGCCATAGTTAGTGAAACACCTATCGGAGCACGGGCTCAACCACCTCCTTTCCGCCGTCAGGGTAGTCCATGCCGGCGGAGGGCGATGTCTCAGCAAGCTAATTAACGATTTCCTCCACATCTGGTAAGATTTCCGGAAAGTAAAAAATCAATTTACAACATTAAGCAGTGAAGGGAGTTTAATACTTGAATATTCAGCATTAAAAGCGTCTAGATTATATCATGAGCCATGATCAGTGCGCAGCAGCTGCTGAACTAGTAGCTTCGTTTTAGGTTAGGAAGTGTGGAATTATGAATGCAGAAAATATTGGGGGAAGAAGGATTTGAAGAGAAAAGAAATGACTAGGTTGACGGAGACCGTCAAATAGGAGTTTGTTCGAACGGCGAAAGAAAGCGAGGGTAGCAATTCTCTTTATAAACAAAATTTATACAGGCAAGTAATTGATTTTTAAGCGAACTATAGGTGTATACAAACAACTAGATGATGTGTATAATTTGCATTTGTACACATGCAATTCTTTTTAAAAAATATGTTAATTGTCTGTATATAACTATTATACAAATTTTGTATACAAATATAATTTTCCTTTACATTTACAATGTGGGATGAAGAGATGTGTGTTTTTGTAGTGTGTTATCGTCTTTGGTCATTCGAGTTGACCGTTTTACCCAATAACCTTGAGATAGTCGCCTAGGATCGCCATCAAGTAATTGTGTTGCAAAAAAAATCGAAATACAAGGATTGTATGACTATCGGATGAAAATATATATGATATCAATTGATATTTCTATTTTCTATTTTAATAGATATCGTTAATTATTTTTGGAAGAAATAGGTTTAAACTGATAACACATCATTCGGATAGTACACAAACTGACAAAAAGACTCCTGAAAACCGCCGTCCCTCAAACCAAACTCAGCGTTTATCAAATCGACAGAAGCAATATAACTCGTTGATCCATTAATGAGAACAAATGAGCCAAAGACGATTAACACAATCATTCCATCACCCATATCCAAATTCACAGTCTTATAGAAGAAAAAAATTAAAAACCAAAAGTAAATAGCATAGTTCAATGATGAAAGCAAAAAAATAAAAGTTGTGACCTAGCTTTCCGACCACCATCATCTTCCACCTTCCACACATCTCTTCATCTCGAGAGCGTAGCTTAGGCAGGCTTATTCCATGAAGCCCGCCTCCTCTCTGTTTTTTGTACAGTCCAGAGCCATATTGTCCCCCCATATTCTTCTCTATCCCCCATATTGCCTCCTCTCTTTTGCTCTCCAGACACCTCATCATTCCCTCCTTTCACCTCTTTATCATTATATGAAGTAAATGCATATTATGTTCCTCCATTTTATATAAATTAAAAAGAAAAATTATTAATGTTAATGCTTAAATATTTAAATGATGAATATACAAATAATAATAATGCATCAACCAATATAACCCTTACATGATGATTATAAGCATTCTATTTTTATAAAAATTAAAGCCGTAAATATAAACTCTAGATTTCGATGTTCATTTTATGAACTTAAAGTTTATTTTTCAATGATAACTAATATACTTGATTGAAATAGTTACAAATTAACCCAGATTAAAGAGATGAGATCACATACGAAACATAATGTTATATTTAGAATTATTTTAGATCAGACATGTAGATTAGACCAACAAAACTCTATTCATGAAATGTGAGTAACAAATTTTGAATTAAGTCATCACGTTTAAGGCAGTTTTTCTTTCTTTATGTCAAAAATATCGTGGGAGGTGCTTTCTTGTCGCCAATGCAGGTTATGGGTTCAATGTACAATATGTACCACATATGCTTTTCTTATAACGGACTAAAGTGACAAACTATTACATTTGAGGTAAAAAGAACCTTTGTGTCAGTATACAAGCTTGGCAATGAAGACAATGGGGTGTGTGTAACAAAATGTTTGCATCGGGCTGTCAGCTAAAAAAATCCCCGCTTTGAATAGCCCGTGCCATACTAATCTCCATACTAATCGCCCGCTCTACACGATACAGAAAATATTCAGCAAATCGCACACGATAAGTCAATAAAAGAACACACACACCCACACACTTTAGTGCACCACATACATGCCATATTTCTAGCATTGAAGCACCAACACAAATCAAAGTAGCAGTTCCAAAGAAAGAAGGAAACTTAAGGGTTCAAGCGAGCCAGCTAACAAGGTTAATTATCGTCGTTGTCATCATCACCATCTAGTA